GGCAATCTTTGGCCCGATGTCCCTCTTTGTCACAGATGTAACATTTGCCATTAAACTTGTACTTTTTATTTCCCCCCCCCCTTTAGAGCCTTGTGATGAACTTTCTCCAGAAGACTTTCGTTTCTTGATTTTTGAAGCATGTTCCACCACATTTGCCTTAGACTCCATAGGATGCTTACCAGCCCGCTTTTCAGATTTACGGTTGTCCTCCTCAATTCTCAAACGCATAATTAATTCGTCCATAGAAATTTCTTTGCGCTTGTGTTTGAGGTAGTTCTTGAACTCCTTCCAGCCTTTTGGTAATTTTTCAATTAAGGCTGCAACTTGGAAGGATTTATTGAAAGATATGTCTTCTGCGTGAATGTCATGCAGAATGAGTTGGAAATCTTGAGCTTGGCTGATCATAGTTTTTGAATCAACCATTACAAAATCCAAGAATCTGCCAACCACAAATTTCTTTGAGCCGGCATCTTCCGTTTTGTACTTTTTCTCCAACGATTCCCACAATTCCTTTGCTGTCTTGATTGGACTGTAGACGTTGTATAATGTGTTGTCATGTCCATTTAAGACGTAATTCCGGCAAAGGAAATCGGCATGTTTCCAAGCATCAACCGCAGTAACCACTTGCCGGTCGGTTTCATCCTCTTTCATGATAGGAGCATCTTCACGGAGAAAACGAGCCAGGTTCAGAGTTGTAAGATAGAACAACATTTTCTGTTGCCATCTTTCAAAGTCAGTTCCCGAGAACTTCTCTGGCTTCTCTCCATGATTTATTGGTACTGTTGCCATCTTTTAAAGTCAGTTCCTGAGAACTTCTCTGACTTCTCTCCATGATTTATTGGTACTGTCATCACAGGAGAGGGGGTTGGTGTAATTTCAGCCACCACAGTAGTACTTGTTTGGGCATTTGTTTCAGTAGCCATCAATTCTAATTTATAAAACAAATTTATAATTTAAATTTTCACTACACAGAAAATTAAACCAAATTCGCAGAATTAAATTATGTAAAAATAAAAGAAACAAGAATGTAACTTTTATTTTCCAATTAATTTGAAAATAAAATAAAATTTTATTTAAACAAATTAATTTCACACGGAAAAATAACTTCTGTAAAATAAAAGAAATAAAAACTATAACTTTTATTTTTCAATTAATTTGGAAATAAAATAAAATTTTATTTAACCAAATTAATTCCAAACAGGAAATTAAATTCTGTAAAATAAAAAAAATAAGAAAATTAACTTTTATTTTTCAATTAATTTGAAAATAAAATAAAATTTTATTTAACCAAATTAATTCCACACAGGAAATTAAATTTTGTAAAATAAAAGAAATAAGAAAATAACTTTTATTTTTCAATTAATTTGAAAATAAAATAAAATTTTATTTAACCAAATTAATTCCACACAGGAAATTAAATTTTGTAAAATAAAAGAAATAAGAAAATAACTTTTATTTTTCAATTAATTTGAAAATAAAATAAAATTTTATTTAACCAAATTAATTCCACACAGGAAATTAAATTTTGTAAAATAAAAGAAATAAGAAAATAACTTTTATTTTTCAATTAATTTGAAAATAAAATAAAATTTTATTTAACCAAATTAATTCCACACAGGAAATTAAATTTTGTAAAATAAAAAAGGGAAACAAACGAAAAATTCTGTAAACAGAATAATTCGAATCTGTCTTAAGATTGTTGAAACAATCTTCTGTGTAAATAAAATAAATTAAAACAAACTCAAATAAAATAAAATAAATAACTTACCGAATTTATTTATCGAACCGAATTAAAAAATTTAAAGACCAAGTCGAGTGTGTGACACTCTGTCCTTAAGACAGATTCGCACCGCTACAGTGCTTACGGTTATGTGGCGTCTATCTCCCAAGATACAATGATCTTCACAAATTTGTAGTAGCACTTCAAACAAATTTGTTCGACGAACTAGAACCTTGTGTTCTATAACTCTCTGAAATTTTTCCTAAAATAATATGAAGAAAAGGACGCAAGAGAGCAAAATGAAGGCAAGGAAAATGAATTTTCAGAAAATCAAAATTGGAATGGGGCTGCCTTTATATAGGCTTTGTTGGCACCTATTCAATTTGAATAGAAAAGGTATAAAAAAGGGACATACCCCTTCCTTTATAATAAAGAGACACCATGAAAGGTTTGCACCCTTTCATTCAAATGGAGGCTTGACCATTCCTTTAAAACAAAAAGACACCATGAAAGGTTACACTCTTTTATTCAAAATGAAGTCTATTTCAATTCACAAATACCTCTTTATAAATTTTCTAACACTTATTACTTAACCTAGAGCACCTTAACAAAATATAGAAAGAGCCAGTGGAGATTGGGACAAATTAGTTAAGTTGAAAAAAAAAAAAAAAAAATGGTTTAGAGTAACTTACAAAGCAAATCACCATTTTCTTATGTCTTAGAACATCTTCAACGGTATATCAAAATTTTTATCAAATTTGAGTAAAAATTTTATTTGATATCAAGTGTTCCAACGGAAATTTTTGAAGATTCGTCAAAACACTGGTCGACCAGGAGGATGTCTGGCTGATTGATCGACCAGTATGAATTTTTCACAAACGTTTGCCTTGGGGTGGTCATTCGGAGAACATCTGGAGAGACATTGATGAAAATCCAATGACTATAAATAGTAATTTGACGAAAGGCATATATTCATTCTCAATTTGATGAAAAATTTGAAAAATCCTTGATTTGATGAAAGATTTGGTGAACTATTAAAATAGCAAAAAATAATTTTTTTTTATTAAATTTAAATTTGATAAAATATTTAATGAACATTAGAGATGGTCTTGTCATCTTTGTTTTGTCTAATATTGTTCTTTGTTGGTTGTTTGTTCTTTGTTTCATTGAACTTCATTGCAGCTCTTTTGTACATTGTGCTTGTCTTTGACTGTAGTTGGATCCTCTTGTTGACCTACATCACTGTTACTTACGAAAGGATGGTCAAATTAAGGTTCAAATAGGCTTTCAAATGCTACACTACAATAAAAAAAAATAAAAAAATAAATTTATTATATACACATGACATGGGTTGTGTGTAGATTTGTCAACAAACCTATTCTGATTCCAATGGATTGGATGAAAGAATAATAAGAATCGGATACTTCATCTGAAAAATTAGAACCGATTTAATTCAACTTATTTTTTAATTTTTTTTAATAAATATGTATAGAATTACCATTACTTTTCCTAACCTACTTGATTTAAAGATATTTAGATAATTTTATAGAAATCATGAAGAATGACTAAAAGAATAAAATTCGATTAAAATCGAATTAAATCAAATATTGTTTAATCCAATGCCACAACATATCTGCCTCCGTTTGGCAAGAAAAAGCCCAGGCTTTTTTGGCTAAAATAGTCACAAAAAACAAAATAGGCTATTTTAGCCACAAAAAACAAAACATCAAATCCAACCCATAATCATTACAATCCTCTCTCACAAAAAAAGTCAAAAAAGTCAAAAAGCCCTTCCCAAACCAGGCTAAAATAGCCCAGGTTAAAATAGCCAAAAAGCCAAAAAGCCAAAAAGCCAAAAAGCCAACCCACTTCCCAAACGGAGGCTGATTTTACCTTGTCATATTCAGAATTTTTGAATAGTCTGGATCAAATTCAATCCATTGGAATCCCTAATTGTATGAATCCAAGTAAGCTATGAAAAACAGCAATAAAATTCATCCAACGAACCTAGATGATTTTCCTTGCACATATACATATGAAAATTGTATCTTATTTACATTCATTTATTTTTATCCAAACAAACAACAAGAATCAAACCCTAGGCAACCATCTCGTTATTTTTGTTATCATTGGTTATGACACCACACGCTATGGAATGCTAAGAAAGATCAGAACTTTTTATATTTTCTGCTGTTTGGATTAGCATTAAAATTTTATTGTATCTATGCAGCATCTTTTGGGCTTGTGGGCCACGTAATATGCAAAAATTTGAACAACTGGACCTCTGTAATGGGCCCAATAACCACAAAAAAATTTGTTACTCTGTCAGACAACTACTTAGCCAATTCAAACCAGTTAAATTAGGCTGAGGGCAATCCTATATGGTTTGATGGCCCAAAGAGGTCCAACAAGGATGACAATCACGCTCGGGTCAAGTAGTAATGGTTCATAAACCAGACCTTAGTTCCTGACTAGATAGAGCTCGAGGAGCCAGAGGTGCAACCCTAAAGAATAGATTTGGTTCAAGTTAGGTCACACCCTTCTTCTTCGTATACTATATTCAAGTATAAAAATATCTTTTACTTTTCATGATTTTTCGATGTAGGACGCAAGTCGTTTAGTTTCATCGTTTATCAGTTTTATTGTTTATCTGATAATTATGTGGTGTTGGTCAAACTTGACCTTAGTATTCCTTTTGTGCTGAATCTAATCTTAATAGGTTTTGATTAAAAAATATTATATAAAACTATAACTTTATTTATTAGATGTAATACATGATTATGTAAGTTATGGTAAAAAAGAGATTTTAATTGGAGAGGGATTTTTATTAATTTATAATATGTATGAACATGTATTTTAATTTTGTAATTTTTTTAAGGATTAAATAGATTTTGATTTTTATGTTTTAAGAATCTATAGACATAATCAACAGTTAAGGATTAAATAAATTTTGATTTATAAACTTTACAGGACAAATAAATTCAATTAATAGTTCATAAATTAAATAGATAATTTGATTATAATTTAGGAGTAGAAAATCAATTTTAAAATAATTTTTAGATACTCTTTCAATATATATTTGTTTGTGTTTGGGTACTAGGGAATTGAAACATATACTAGGAAAGAGAAGGGAAAAAAAAAAAATGAGAGGAAAAGAAAAAAGAAGAAAATAAGAAAAAGAATATCCGAATTTGTGCGAAGCATGAGGATGATATCTACAAACAAACATAGATTATAGGGTAGTTAATTGAAGGAGCTGTTTGGCTGCAAATTACAAAATTATTCCCAGAAATGGCGAGAGTCTCCATGACACGGTCCTCTATCCCTTTCCTCAACTCCTCTCCTTCAGACCTTCGCCGAGTCAATCGGTCTCTCTCTCGATCCTGTTTCGATCTCCAAATTTAGAAAGTCCTTTCAGGCGAGTAATTTTGATTCATAATCACAAATCAAATTATTTTACTTTTTGTTTTGTTGCAGACACTCAGTTATGGCTTTTGCGAGTTTGAAGAAGGAGACTTCGAGTCTCGGAGCGCGAGTTACAGAAGGCCAAGGCAATTTACCCAAGGTTGTCCTCACTTCTCCTCACGGCAGGTACGTACGCTTTTCTCATCTCAATTGTCTCTTTTAGATTCATATATATATATATATATGCGCTTAAATGTGTGTGTTTCTGTGATTGTAATTGTAAACATGTGTAGATTGTGAGAAATGGACAAGGCATTCTTATACACTGTTTTTGATTGTCAATTTGTGTTTTTGTCCTTTTGGAAATCATTTGAGTCTCTAATGGCTACCATTGATGTTTGTTTCCCGCCATTTTCGACTATAGGCATGATCAAGAACTCATCTTTGTAATGGAGATTGGATTGGGGAGTGCTAAGTTTGTATTTGTCTCTTCCAAGTTCTCTAATGACATTGCCTTGAAACTGGGTGATGTTTCATGTGTTGAGCAATGTATACAAGCTCCTGAATTCCTCTTTGAATTTTTCACTCCGATGGACTGGACATTGGCACAAAATAGCAAAATCAGCCCGGGAATCACTTAGTTGAGCCCTTGGTAGTTTGTGTCACACTTGACATTCTATTGTCAATGTAGAATCGGGTGGTTTTTTTGTATGCCTACCACGCAATATGTTATAAACATTTGCGGTAATTTAACTTTATAATCTTCAAATTGCCCAACTACCTGATTTGACGGTTTTCACCGTATGAAGGGGCTGGACAAAACAAATGCTCCTAACTCAGGCATAGGTTCAAGGACTCTTTAAGTTAGCAGTTGTGCTATACATTTGTGTGTGGGACTGATGATCATGGTCACTAACAATGTCGAGTCTTGATTCAAAGGGTCAGGTCTTTCAGAAAAAAATTCAATGTTCTATATTTGTACTTCAAAACCATTGAGAACAACTTCCATCACCAAGATTGGTGAGGCCAACTTTTTCGTGGAGTCCCAAGTTAAAATCCAACTTTATGTTAAACAAGGTTTTGTGCTGCCATTAACTGAGCAAGCTTCAACTCTGCTCTTAATTTGTTAATGAACTAGGGAATGCTGACATGCGCTAATTCTCACAATCTACAACAATTGCTATTGGGCATGGACATTAGTTATTATCTTTAAAATACAAGCCATAGTCTAATTCTAGCTCTTGGTTGCAGTGAGGCTGAATTATATTTATTTGGAGGTTGCATCACATCCTGGAAAGTTTCCAACAAGGATCTGCTTTTTGTTCGGCCAGATGCTGTATTCAATGGGCAGAAACCAATCAGGTTGTTTCCTGACACTCTCACAACCGAAACTTAAAGCATTACCTCTCATACTAATTTGCTCCAATCTTGGAATTGGTTTCAACATTGCATTGGGATCACTATTATGCCTTTGATGTTTATTATAATAGTGAAAGTTTTTCCTATTCTTTGCACCAAGATTATAGACCCCTATAAGCCTTACTTTGGTGGGATCATAGTTCAAGGAAGAATTTCTATCTAGCTTAGGATCTGGAATTCCTATTTTCTTTTGTGTAGAACATGTACTTTGAGTCCTGTTATTAGCTAAAGAGTTGGAATTTGTTTTCTATACTGACTGTATCTCTACTGCGACAGTGGAGGTGTTCCACATTGTTTCCCACAATTTGGACCTGGCCCAATGCAGCAGGTATGGCTATCTATCATTGCTCGGATAACTATCAGAGGATTCCTATTGTTTTTCATTCCCCCACTTTTTAATTTGTAAGTTTTGTCTTGCATATGTTTGACATTGAGTAAGAAATGTTGAGATAAGCCTTGCCATGGTAGCCCTTCACTTAACACCTTCAGCCTAAATCTGACTTTTGGTGCCATGTGGATCCTTCAGCAAAAGCATACTTTTTATACTTGTAGTGAGTCTGTTGCTGCCACTGAGGAGTTCAATCTAGAGCAAGGTTCTAAAAAGCGGCCGCAACCTTTACGTAACGCCATTACATAACGGTTTTGGCGGTTACCGCCACCCGTTACGGCCGCTTTTGCAGTGTGATTGAGATTCACAGGTGTGTCGGCCGTAGTGGCTGCCGTAGTGGTCGTAACGGTGCTATAACAGCCGTTACCGCTGTTACGGCACCGTTATGTAACGGTTCCAAACTATTTCTTTCGAAAAAACACAAATAAAAAACTGAAAATGGGAGAAGAGAGATAGAGAGAAGAGGGAAAATAAAGAGAAAAAATGGAGGAGCAAGAGATAGAGAGAGAGAGAAGAGGAAAGATGAAGAATATGTTATTGACTTGTTGAAGCTGTAAGACCTATGCTATTCTATTCAGCTGCTATCACTCAACCATTTTGTTTGTGTGTGTCTATGTATATATATTGTCTGAAAATAATAATAATAATAAGTGTGGTCATTATCTATTTGGGTTGGTTAAAATATATGTATATATATATATATTTAGGCTCTTATTTATTCTCTTACTTTTGTCATTGTTTATCTTATATATAATAGTTAGGGATTGCTTTTTTGTATAATATAAAGTCATTAATTATCAAAATAAAATGTAAAAAATTCAATTTATAGTTGCTTTTTTGTATAATATAAAGTCATTAATTATCAAAATAAAATGTAAAAAATTCAATTTATAGTGTGTTAAAATCCACCTACTCTCCACCTACTTCACCCACTTAAACCTACTCCACTAAACCTAACCCACTACACCACTACCACCTCACCTACTCCACTAAACCTAACCCACTACACCACTATCACCTCCACTTCACCTACTCCTTACCTACTACACACTCACCCTCTTCTATATATAGGAATCATGAATCATTGTAATAGATATCAATATAAATCAATCAATAATACAATTCTCTATTTCTCTTTATACATTAAATTTCTACATGGTATCAGAGCAGGTTTAGAATCTAGTATTTTTCGCTTCACAGGCGGGCGGCAACCTCACCTTAGCCGTCCGCCGGACCTCAACCTATTCCGCTTATTTTCTACACATACCTTCCCATCACTGCCTAAATCCTCTCTCTTGAGGCCAATGTGAATTCCTCTTCTTCATAATCTGCACTAACTGTGGCATCTTTTCCTGGGGCAAACTCTGCAACCCAACACTCAATCTATGCTTCTCCTCCATGCTCATTTGCCTCTTGTTAGGATCCTTCGCCTTCGGCTTTGGTTTGGGCTTCGCCACAGCCTTGAGCTTCACTGCAGCTTTCAGTTTCACAGCAGCTTTTGGCTTCGCAGCTGGCTTGGCCTTTGCCGCTGGCTTGGGCTTCACAGCGTCTTTAGCTTTTGGCGCAGCAGCTTTTGTCTTAGCCGGAGCCTTCTTTTCCTTTTTCGCTTTTACAGCCTTCGGCTTTGCAGCAGCCTTCGGCTTTGCTTCCCTCTGGTGGCTCCCCAGGTTCCACCTGAGCTTCATGATTCATTTATAGCTGCAATTGATAAGGGAAGTATTAGAACAATGCCCAATAGAAGTATGCCAGCTGCTCCTTACCCTACTCCTGGAGCACTATTAATAGGTGATGCTTTCAACATGCGTCATCCTTTAACTGGTGGGGGAATGACTGGAGCCCTGTATAAGGTGTTTTGTGCATCTCCTGATCAAGCAAGGAAGGAAATGCGTGAAGCTTGTTTTGATTATTTGAGCCTTGGAGGTGTGTGTTCAACAGGACCAGTGGCTTTACTCTCTGGTCTAAATCCTAGCCCATTGAGCTTGATACTCCATTTCTTTGCTATAGCCATAAATGGTGTTGGCCGTCTCTTGCTACCATTTCCTTCCCCTAAGCGCCTGTGGATAGCAGCTAGATTATTTTTGGGTGCATCGGCTATCATTTTTCCCCTCTTTCTCTCACATGGGCTTGTCCCCTCTCTCTCCTCCGTTTGATTTCAAAATCCATTATTTTTATTTATTTTCTCCAAACCACTTTCCTTATTTCCCCCATCTTTCATTTTGATTTCAAATATATTTTTATTATTTCTTTCTTTATTTTTCTTTCACATTATTTTTTAATCTTTTTCAAATTCCATTCATACCATATAGCTTTGCACACCAAACCATCTTTTATTCATCTCAGGGATCAACCCCGATCACAATTTTAAAAAAAAAAAAAAAAAAAAATAACAACAACAACAACCACAACAACACAAACCACAACACCACAAGATTTGATTTCTTTTTTACAGGAATTGTTGGTCTATAATGGAAATAAAATTATTTCATTCCAGTAAAGAGTCCTTTCATGTTCTAAAAAACAATATATCAGACACCAACTCAAAAGAACATCCAAACACACTGATTGGGGTCAACCCCCTTAAAGAACGTGCTTAGAGAACAGATTCACATGTGCGCACACACAAAAGACAAGAAAGAAAACTTTTGTTCGCAATTAATGTGTATTCAGATGTTGAAAATTGTATGGAGCCCATTGCTGCAGGTTTTCACTGGGAATTTGAGTCTAGAACTGAACTGGTGTACTTTTCTTGCATTGTTCATGCAGTAGGAATATTATCCAACTAGTATTTTTGTTTTCTCAAATGAGATAGTAGCATGTTTATATCATTTGCAAATACGGTTGTGTAATTCTTGATGTTTTCACTACTGTTATTGAGGAGATATTTGATTTTTCAAGTGTTCTTCTTAAACAGTTGGCCTTATTATTGGATAATAGAAATTTTCTAAATTGCCATGAACAGATGGTTATCATTGTCTAATGGAATTCATTTATCGACTTGTAAGACACTAACGTTTTTTCTGGATCTTGGATTTGTGAAGGGAAAACAAACAGGAAGGAAGAAGTGAATCAAGTAGAAGCTAAATGTTTTTCACTTTTCCCCTTCCCTTTTCTTTTTACTCCATAAATCCAAGATCCAAACACAGTTACACAGCCTAAATGTACATAACTTTGAGTCAATCCGATTGGAAACTTCTAAATTTCTCCTTAAATTAGTTTATTTTATGTGTGTTTAGAAGCCAGTTATTATGTTCCTTTCAGAATGATCAGGAATGTTTTGACAAGTTTTTTCTATGTCTTGTGTCATAAGCTTTTTTGAGTGTCCTATTCTGGCAAAAGCCGTGCTCACTTTGCAGATGGTTTATAAAATTATGTGCTTGTTGCCACTAATCGAAACCAAAAACATGATGATTTTTTTCTTTGAATCAATATGAACTGAATACTTTCATGCAATTATTTGTCTTAATTGTTTTTCTCTAATTTTGTGTTGGATTCCTTGATTTCGGTTAGTTTCTACAAGGGTCCAGCAAGACTCTGTAAACTGTCACAACAACTGTCACAACATTGTCTGCTACAACGGTCCGACATGACCCCATAAACTGTCTTCTACATCGGTCTGACACCGCCATCCAGTGTCCTCTACACCGTTATGACACCACCATACAGTGTCCTCTACATGGTTATGAAACCCCCATACAGTGTCCTCTACAACGTTATGACACCACCATCCAGTGTCTTCACCAATGGTTTGACACGACCATACAGTGTCTCTTATCCTCTTTTATTTTTATGTATTTCCTTATTTTGTTACTCTCTCCAAACTCAAGTTGGTTAGTTCCTATCCCCCTTGAGTTTGCGGGGGGCTGTTAAAATCCACCTACTCTCCACCTACTTCACCCACTTAAACCTACTCCACTAAACCTAACCCACTACACCACTACCACCTCACCTACTCCACTAAACCTAACCCACTACACCACTACCACCTCCACTTCACCTACTCCTTACCTACTACACACTCACCCTCTTCTATATATAGGAATCATGAATCATTGTAATAGATATCAATATAAATCAATCAATAATACAATTCTCTATTTCTCTTTATACATTAAATTTCTACATAGTGATTTAAAAATATGAAATATAGTAGATCATACTTAAAAATTTACAAAAAATTGATTAATATTTATTTTTAACCCAATAAATATAATCATGGAAAAAAAATATGCGTACCGGTAAGTTTTTTCCAAATTGTACAAAAAATAAAAAAATTCACGTTCTGGTTATCGCAACCGTTACGCTACGGCCTTTACACTCCGCAACCGCAACCGCGCCACCGCCACCATTACGGCGACCGCAACCGCCTTTCAGAACCTTGATCTAGAGACACCAAAAAGTTCTGATCTTCTTAATGGTAGGCCTTGTAGGTTATCAATGGTGAAAGACCGGTGTATCTTCCCTTTCTAGTCCACAAAACAAGTCATACTAGAATTTATTGACATCACTAGTATTAAGTATTAACTCCCTGTTTTAAATTAATTTTGAGCTTTTGGAAATGCTTTTATTTTACAGCATGGATTTGCAAGGAATATGAATTGGTCAATTGTTGATTCTCAAGATGTGGAAGGAAATCCTGCTGTTACTCTAGAGCTTAAGGATGGTCCATACAGTCGTGCTATGTGGGATTTCAGCTTTCAAGCTATGTACAAGGTCTGTCTATTGTTTAGTTCCCTATACATACAAAAACAATGTTCCACGAAGAGTTGCCGATGATTTGTCATCTGATCTGTAACACTTAAAAAGTTGATACGGTTTTATAAATCTACATTTTAAGAATGCTTAAATATCTAGTTGGCTCGAACCTTTCATGCTGCCATATTGTTTTCAATGAGCATTCCATTGAGTTAGTGTATGAGATACTGTTTTCATTTCTTTCACTTGTTTGCAGATCATTCTTGATGCAAAGAGCCTTTCAACAGAACTAGTGATTACAAATACTGATAACAAGCCATTTTCATTTAGTACTGCCCTGCACACATACTTTAGTGTAAGTATCTTCGTTCCATGCTTGGGAGATCCAATTACCAACTTTGTTGTTAACTAAGGTAGTAATTTCTTGTGATATTCTGAAAAATTCAATATTAGGAAGTAATTAACCAAAATAACTAATTCATGCAAGAGGAATAGGATGCAACAAATAATCTGGGGCATATCCACTGTGTTTCATTTATTACACGTGAATTTTTGAAAAATATTCACAATTTAAATTCAGTTACATGTGCTTTGAAACTTTTGGAGAATTTTATTGGCTTGCTTGGCTTTGCTGCTATCATGCAGGCTTCTGTATCAGGTGCATCTGTGAAAGGATTGAAAGGTTGCAAAACACTGAACAAAGATCCAGATCCCAAAAATCCACTGGAGGGTGAGGAGGAAAGGTCTGTGTCAAAATCATACTACTCTCAGGGAAATGTTGAGTTTTTTTTTTTATGTGGAAACTTCGTTATTAGAGGATTTAGTTTACAAAATAAATTATTCAAAGAGGAACCTAAAAAATTGTGTTTATAGGTTGGATTTGGATATAATGAATATACTGACACATCATACAGTATAGTTAAGAGAGTGCAAGAAGCATACTGTTTTACTAGTTTTCCGATTATCTCCAAGCGTTAGAAAGACTATAAATTACTCTTTCATAGAAATATAGTCTTGGCTACATCTATGATCAACTACATCCTTTTAATTCTGCATATAATGTGATCTTTTCTCTAGCTCTTTTGAGTTTCCCTGTGAAAATTAACTTGCTTTGTATTCCACATTTGCAAGTACTAGATTTTTTGGCTATTTCCTATTTTCTTCTATTAATAGAGAAGAAATTGAAGTGTGGCTTACAGTATATAATAAAATATGATGTACCAAACAATCAGAACCCTATACACACAGTACAACTCACAATGCTAAAATGCTGTGTCCAAGCACGTTCTGTCTTCAATCATTATCCAAAACAGGAGAACTAGATAAAACCATTTAAATTTTTTTTTTTAAATTCCGAAGTTATTGAATTTTTGAAACATAGATTTTTGCAGCAAACTCTTATTGCACGTTGCAATAGATGCCCTTTCTTTCTAACTGTTGATCTTCACAACTCAGGGATGTGGTCACTTTCCCTGGATTTGTAGATTGCGTTTACCTTGAAGCCCCTAGTGAATTACTCCTTGATAATGGTTTGGGAGATAAGATAACCATCCAAAATACAAGGTAAGTAATTTGAAAACCCTATGCAATGTTATCTTTTGTATTGAGCAACATTTCTGCATTTACTTATTAGTCCTTGTACCCTTCTCTCGCTCATGCAGTTGGACAGATGCTGTTCTGTGGAACCCGTTTCTTCAGATGGAAGCATGCTACAAAGATTTTGTATGCGTTGAAAATGCTAAGGTATTAGAGTACTCAATTTCTTTCAGTATAAACAACTTGCAATTCTCTATAAACTAGACTTGTATACATGTTTTGCTGATGCCATTGAGCCTAGAGGTTCTTTTGCTGATTGAACAGTTTTTGCCTACAAATTCATCGTAAAAGTTGATAATGCTTTTGGTATGTTGACCACAGATTGGAAAAGTAGAGCTAGGGCCCAACCAGTCTTGGGCTGCTACCCAACATCTAAGCGTTGGCTGAAGTGTATCAGAGCATTGCTCTCCAAGCATGTAGAGTAAAATTTTCCTTGCTTCGTATTTTCTCTTTTCTGAATACTGTTCAGAAGAGTTGGTGAAAAAGCATGTATCTATACTGGCCAATGCTATAAATTTTCTTTCTTCATTTTTGGCTAATGCAAATAATGTTAACACCATGTCAATGTATCTGTGACACAGATATTTTGATTGCCATGCCAGTCTCCCGAATGTAAAAAAGATACATTAACAAAAGAGAGTGAATCTAAACTATCCTGTTTCCTATGATTCATTTCAGGTTGATAACATTGCAATGAAGCATACCAGCAATATGATCAGCCCCACAGCCCAAACCCAATACACCCATTTCTTGCCCCCCTTCTTCATCTGTTTGGCATAGAAAAGACTGTTCGTTCCGCCACGGACAAAGCTTTTTGCAGTACCCACATTGTGCTCGATGTCATCAATCTTTTCACCTTGAGCCTCCACCAGAACAGCCATATCGAGAAACACCTGACGAAGATTATTCAAACTCCTCTGTATGTCCATCATAGCCTCATGCCTCTCTCTGTTCTCCAAATTCACTTCTGTCCTCTCTTCAAATATCTCAACTTTCCCACTTCCCGAAACCATCTTTTCAATCACTTCCTCGCTCGGCACTTCACCAGTTGCGTTATAGTATCTCCTTCTCAGATACTCTTTGTGATTGGATAGTACTCTGTCTCTCAATGACTGAAAACGATTCATCATGTCCCTGAGCTTGATTCTCAAACCGCTTGTGATTGAAATCCTTGTCCGATCAACTGTACTTCCTTCTCTGAATGCCACGGATAATTTGCGATTATCCGTGTTCGATTTGTCGAGCACTTCTAGCCTCGCCTTGACAATTTTGGCCTTGTGAAGCACAGCAACCATGTCCGAGTCCATCCGGTCTCGTAACCCACGAAGGACCTTGGTACTGTGAGTGAACTTGGTCTCTTCATTTAGGGTTTGAAGATCAAAGAGGAGATTAGTGATCTCTTCCATTTCGGACTTGATGGCATCGACTTCTTGGAAGAACAGAGACAGGTTGGCTTCGTCTGTGGGGCTGAGTTGGCCTTTCTCTATGTCTGTCTCAGATTCGAGGTCCATCTGAGATTGTTTCTTCAATTCCACATAACTTAGAAAAGACTTTGTCATGAGATCATTCATCTTGGCAACAAAATTTCTGGAACCCACCTACAAATAACTCAAGAAAATCACATAAAGTGCAATATATGAATGTGTACATATGTGTGTGTGTGTGAATGAACGTATAGAACCATGAGCATTGTAAAAAAGAAGAAAAAATTAACGACCTGTTTCTTGGGATACTCTATTTTATTCGATGTTCAACACCAAGAAGTCTGAATAAAAAGATCAAACATGTGAAGAAAATGTCAAGAAATTGTGATGATTATGTTAAAAAAACCGTCTTTGTTGATGCTCAAAAAACAATTACGTGAAGAATTAAAGAAAGAAAAACAAAATGTCAGACAAACCAAAAAAGTGGATTCAAGAAATCACCTTGACCTTGAAATGTTCTGACACCCAGAGAAACTTGACGAGAGTCAAAAAGCAGAGACAGAAAATTGAAAGTGGGCTTGGTCGAAATCTTGAAGAATTCTCTGACCTTTCTCTCTCTCTCTCTCTCTCTCTGAGTAGTGAAGATGAATAATGGGAAATTTCAGAAAACAGAGTGTTTTGATGAGAAGAAACTCTGAAGGGAAGTTACTGAAATGACGAGAGGGGATCGCATTCGTTCAGTTTCAAATATTTGAAAACTTCCGTTGATTTGGGAAAGTAGCCGTTAAATACTTGACCGCTGAAGTCGGCGGGTTTTATAAGTGAAAACGGCGGCGTCGCCATCTTCATGCAACATTTTCCATGCTTTACGTGTTGGTTTGTTTTTCATTTGCCCAATTAACCCCCACTTATTTAACTTATTGTTTGTTTTTAAAAATTAATTAATAATTTTAAATTATAACCTTTTCAACGCCAAATAAGTAATGATTTTAAAAAAAATGTAATTTGTAACTTTATTTATTTAAAACCAAAAGAGTGTCTCATTTATTTTGTATTTTAAATCGGTGATACTACATACACCAATTAATATACTAACTAATGTATCAATACTAGTTATGACATTATTATTGATGCCATTCATTATACAAAGAGAAAACTAATCTAAAGTTCCTCTCCCATGTTTAATAATGGAAGAGATCTACAATATTATTTTATAATGTCTAAGGTTCTTCAACTCTCATACCCATATATCACAGAGAAATTTGACTCTCTCGAATCAAACCTCATTTTTTTTTCTCTCTCTCTTACTCTAAACTCTTCCCTTTCCAAAGATTTTGGGGTTAGAGAAGGGTTGTTCTGTTGATGATGTTCGCAAGGCCTATCGAAAACTTTCATTAAAGGTTCATCCCGATAAGAACACTGCTCCGGAGGCCGAGGAAGCCTTCAAGTCTGTTTTGAAGGCGTTTTAGTGTATGAGTGATGGGGAGAGTAGGAAAAGGCATGATCTTGTTGGATCAGAAGAACCCGTGTATGAAAGGAGGCGTCAGGGACAAGGGTTTCATGGGCTTTATGAGGTCGACATTGATGCTGCGGAGATATTTAGGAACTTCTTTGGTGTAATGAATCCCACTATGTCTGCATAATTCGGTACCTCTAGCTTTGGTCCAGGGATGGGTGTGAGAATGCATAACAATGAGTCTCCTGGATGTTGTTGCCTATGCTTTTGGTGGTTGTTCAATTTTCTCTAGGTTGCTGTTGTCTGAATGTTTTGCAGTCTAGAGAAAATTGGCAAAAATGAAAATGGTAGTTGTTCAATTTTCTCCGTGTTGTTATTGTCTGAATGTTTTATAGTCCAGAGAAAATTGGTCAAAATAAAAATGGTGATTTTTCAATCTCTTTGGTTTGTTTGTTGTCTTATAGTTCAATAATTTACACTTGTTGTAAACCTAGTTGTGTTGTTTATCTTCTGCCATTTTTACTTCGCTTTTTGTGTTTTTGATAGCTGATTGTTTTGTTGTTTCGTTAGATCACAAATTGATGTTATTCAATTGTTTTTGAGTTGTGTTTCTTCGTTGTTCATCCTGATTTGATTAGTTGAATCTGTTATATCAGCATAAAAAAAACATCTCTTTGTTAAATATGCATGTTGTAATTTTTTTAATAATTGCTAGTTCAAACCATCGTTTCATATTTTGTGATTACAAACTCTACTTGGTCTTACTTTTTTCTTTTATTTATTTATTTATTTATTTTTTGTGGTGATCTGATTCAAGGTTGTGGCAGATCATTTGAAATTGTATCTGACATTATTTTGAGATGCCATCTAAAAGTCCTGATTCATCCGATCAAGACAAAGAACCATTTGTTGAAGTTGATCCGTCTGGATGGTTCAGTTGGTACAATGACATCATTGGTGCAATTTTCTCTGGATTGCTGTTATCTGAATGTCTTACAATCTAGAGAAAATGGTTCAAAATGAAAATGGTAGTTATTCAATTTTCTTTGGGTTGCTGTTGTCTGAATGTCTTACAATCCAGAAAAATTTTAATTTTCTCTAGTTTGCTGTTGTTTGAATGTCTTACAGTCTAGAGAAAATTGAATTTTAATTTTCTCTGGTTTGCTGTTGTTTGAAAGTCTTACCGTCCAGAGAAAATTGGTCAAAATAAAAATGGTGGTTGTTCAATTTTATCTAGTTTGTTTGTTTTCTGAATGTCTTACAATCCAGAGAAAATTAGTCAAAATAAAAATAGTGCTTGTTCAATTTTCTTTGGTATGATAAAAAACACAGAGAAAATTATAAGTAAACCAGAGAAAATTGATCAAAAGACAGAGAATCCAGAGAAATCCCCAGAATTTCTATGGAGGGAAATTCTCTAGATTGAATTTTCTTTGAATCAATGTTGAGGGACCTTAAACATTATGAAAATATTTAATGTCTTTTATGTTATAAAATCTTAATACCGAGTATGCTAAAAAAAATCTCCTATTAATTAGTGCATATACTATTATCCATTTTAAATTTTTGCACAATGTCTCCGTCCAATAATGTCAGTTCTTTTAGGAGTTCAAACTATTTTTTTTTATTTTTTTATTTTTAAGAAGGACATGTAATTAATGCATTTAATTCAAATCAAAGGACAATGTTTTACAAATTGTACCAATATTCCCATCCTTAAATGTATTCGTAGTCATGGAAAGTTTTGAAAAATCATAAAATTTTGTGCTTTAACATTTCAAAGGAGACATATTTTGGGACATCACAAATATTTTTTGAAGTATGCAGCAACTTATTTAACTAAATATATTTTATTTTATATACAAATTATCAAAAATTATACTAAACAAATTTATAATTTATTTTACTTATTTTAAGTTAATAATCATAAAAACTAACTCATAAATAATACCCAAGGGGCCAAAATGCTTAGGGGTTCATGCTATCATTTTAATTGGGCATTTGGCAATTGAATTGCCGTGTGACAATTTTATAAACAACAATGCTAAAGATACTAGCTTTTTTGGTTCTAATTTTTAAAAAAAAGTTTTTAAAAAATTATATTTCTTAATTTTTCGTATTTTAATATCTTCAATGAATTTTTTTTAATAATTTAAGCAATTTTTTTTAAAAAAATATTTAGACACATCTAACATAAATACACTTAAAAAGTATAATACTTGTGAAAAAAATCTTTAAAAAATACTCTAAATACCAAAAATACAAAAAAAAAAGAAAAAGAAAATTCAATACATTTTTCATATTTTTGTGTATTTATTAATTTTAAGAATATTTTTTCACACATATTTTACTATTTAGATACATCTAAATAAAGTGAATCTAAAAAAGTATAAAAAAACGTTTAAAATTTAAAAAATATTTACTAAAAACAAAAAAAAAAACGAAAAATAAAAAAACTCAATTTTCAAAAAACTGAAACCAAACACACTGCATACTTTTACTAACAATCTTATTAATCTACTCATAAATTTTGATGAGATTCATCATTTGTGGAATCCACATAAATTCGTGAGTGTATTAATAAGATTGTTATTATCCTTAATATTTCTCTTTCATAAGTATCAAGATCTCAGTAATGGGGAGGGCACATATATTTTTCATAAATTATGATAATTACGCCCATAGCAACTTGCAAGGATGGTGAACATTGAAAATACAACAGCTCCAACAAAACAAATCAATGATAAACGGCAACATGTATAATTGCATCACAAATGAGGGCAAATATCAAATTCATAGAGAGGAAGGGAAAAAAAAAAAAAAAAATTAAAGTCAATAATCAAAATTTCCAACTGGAACACACAATTGTCCTCCTTTTAAAATCCTTTCTTCATCTTTAAATGTGAAGACTCCAAATAGGTATATACCATATACCTGTTATTTAGGGCCGGCTCTGCCCTAAGGCAGGTAAGGCTTGTGCTTTAAGCCTCATATTTTGGCTTAAAAATAGGGTCTCTAAATTAAAAAAATTGTTATAGGTTTAATTTTTTTTTTTGGTTTTAAGATCAATTTAAAGGGTCCCAAATGTTTTATTGGGCCAATGTATAATTTAACCCATATTTATTTATAAATGTGTTTGGCCCATATGTATTAAAATGAAAATATATAAATAAATAAATAAAAAACAATAGGACCCCTAAATTTGGTAAAAAATATATAAATAAATAAATAAAAAACAATAGGACCCCTAAATTTGGTAAAACATATAAACATATATAACATAGGGCCCCTAAATTTGGTCCAAAAATAGGCCCCTAAATTTGGTAAAATATTATAGGTTAAATGTTTTTTTTTTTTGGTTTTAGGATCAATTTAAAGGGCCCCAAAATATTTTTTTGGGTCCATGTATGATTTACTCCATATTTATTTATAAGTGTAGTTTGGTCCATATTTATTAAAATGAAAATATATATTAAAAAAAAAGTGTTTGGGCTCAAGAAAAATAACACATACAATATATGGGCCCTATTTTTTTTATTTTTTATTTTTACCTTCTTTATCTATTAGATTTTAATGGAATAAATAATTTTGCTCAAATTTTTTTACCTAGGTCTTTATCAATTTTAATTGAATAATTTTTTCCTAATTTTTTTGTTCTAATTTTGCTTTATTAAATTGTTTTATTTATAATTTTAATGATTATATGTGTAAGTAAATTTTTTTATGGTTACAAACAAATAAAAAAATTGTAACTTATCGTTTTATTCATGAATTTTTTTTCAATATAAAAGGGCTCCCATTTTTTAAATTCACCTTAGCCCGACGAGCTGTTATTGTAGCTGAAGTTTCCGGACCTTTTCAGCCTCAAGCCTCCTCAATGTAGTGGAGCTTAGCTTATCCCCTGTAGACTCTTCAGAAACTAGATCTACAACTTCAATCTGCACAGAATATTTGGTAACAAGGCTTCAACTTTGATGGTTTTCTAAAAAATATACATGCAATTCACTTCCCCCAAAAGGCTCCCTATTCCGTGAATTTAATGGGCATATATCAACCAGAAACAAACCTTTAGTTGTGAAAGGCCTCTCTCGCCTCTCTTCTTATTTACTGACAGCGCACCCGGTAATGTCTCCTTGCTGCCAAACAAACTAATCCAATCAGATAAACCAAAAAATATAGAAAGAACAGTACTCAATTCAAATCCAGATTTGCAACAATTGATCATGATGCAACAATGTTCCAATAAAGGGAAAAATGAAGGCAATGTTTCACGAGATTGCATATCCAGAAAAGTCACAAATACATGGTAACTGTGTGCGCAATTATAAGTTCTCAAATATTTATTAAAACTCCGAGTAAAGATAACAAAATACCTACATATCTCAATATAAATAAATGAGTTCCACCAGTTCAACCCCGCCATCAAAGTAAAAAGAAATGAGATAAAACAATACAGTCCATGAGCAAGAAATAAACCTGACAACGATGGCCTCCAAATTCTCTTCAACAATTGAAGGACCATAAGGGTCAGTGATAGGCTCAACTTGCACTAGCAACTCTGTCTTGATAGACTGAAAAATATTTGCAGGAAAAAGGAAATATATAATATCATCACCAAATAGAGAAAAGAGATAGTGAGTTTTGTGTATTAGATATAATAGGTTGATGGTTCATGTGCCACAGCGTACCGCTGATGCTTCAAGTTTCAGTCCAATACATTTTCACTATAAATTATAATACTCCATCTCCTTTTCCTTTCATAAATATATTGAAAGAGAGGCTTCAACAGGGCACATGAACCACTTCTAACCAACCATCATTGCCAATGAAGACTCCGAAGTTCAGGAATCAATTTACTGTTGTCACGCCAACTAAAAATAAGAAATGAATAAAGAACACTTTTTCCATACATTATACCTTAATGAAATCTTGTACATTTTGCATTCTTCTTTCAATTGGCTGTATTAGATCAGAATGCTGCAAAAGTGTGTACAAATATCAAATTACTAAACAAATTTAAACTATAAAGAACCGTAACATTTTTACTCAATGCCTAGGCAATTAAGTTATAAAAGAAAAAAGACTCGTTAGAAACTCAAAATTTCATCATAACACAAACGGGCATGGGAGGCTCCACACTCACCCTATATATATAAGTGTTTTGCTAACATGTGTTCTTAAAAAGATTAAACATTTTGCATGAAAATAAGTACAATAAAGAATGAACAATCTTTTTAAGCTTACTTAACACATGTCCATTAAGATTATGCCCGCTCCGGACTGAGTTGTCGATGTGGGCGAGTTGGGTTGGGCCAAAAAGCTATGTATATATATTATTTATCAAAGAACAAAAAAAATAGAAAAAAAAGAAGCATGTGCCCATTAGGGCACATGTTAACAATGCCCTATATATAACATACATGTATTAATGTATGTTTTTTATTGTCAGTTGTCACCTTTGATATATTTACAACACCTTGGCTGCTAATCTAAACCCACTCCACAAAAAAGTTGAACACCTTTTTTTATGACTAGCTAGCCCACTCCACTCTAAAAAAGTTTTTTTTTTAACCCACTGAATAAAAACCTCATCCATTCCTCTCTCATCTTCTCTGTTTCAGTATACTAGAAGTCCATGAACCTACAAATTTTTTTGTACCAATATATTGAACTTTTTTTTTTAAAAAAAAAAAAAAAAATTATGATTCGAGAAGTTTAAATCAGTAAATTTATTCAAAACAGATAATAGATATCAGCAAGTGTGATATATATATTTATAATTTGTAAAATTTAAGTTTTTAAATAATAAAAAAATTACTTGAGCATTCTTTGACAGTGAGAAATTGCTTTTATAATCACCTATGAGAACATATACATAATACATGTATATATACATATACCTGTTTGTTGGTCAACATAGGTCCATCACAAATTCCAACAACAATGCGATCCCGACCCAATTCTGCTGCTGCCTACATGAAACACCATTTAATCACACACATTTTTACATATCTCTCTACATACAAATTACAATACAGATGTGTATTTTTTTTTTTTTTTTTTGAGAGAGAGAGAGAGAGAGAGAGAGAGAGAACCTTGAGGAAAAGACGGTGACCGTCGTGCAATCGGTCGAAGGTGCCTCCGAGAACGACGGACCCAAACGAATTTGGTGGGGAAATCTTAGAATTGACGGAAAATTCCTCAGAAATCGCCATTAATTTGAGAGAGAGAAGAAAGAACACAAAACCTGATCCAAATTAGAGAATCGTCGCTCGCTCTGTCAAATTAAATCAAAATTTGGAAATATAGCAACTATTTCTGGGCTCCTCCTCAAGCATGGCTTGGCTTCGTTCCTTTTCAACTCCGCTACCTAAGTGAAATATCAACAGTTCGAATGATTTGAAATCTCAAAATAACGTCCTTTTAATTTTTTTTCTATTTTTTACTGATAAAATAATATTTTTTGTACCATTTAGATCATTTAAGCTCTACGCATTCGAACACTCACACGTTTTCCGTTCCTCTTGGACTTTTTGGTTGGTTCTCGGGAAATGGCTGACTTTCTCTCCCATTTGCTGGATCATATTTATTTTAAAACAATAGTATAATTTTCAAATTAAATTATTTTTTAATATAAATATAATAGCTAATGCTGAATTAACTTGATTTTATTATACGGAACTGCTATGTAGCTTGAATTGTCGAGCTCGAAATTGGCTCGAATCCAATTTCAGAAGCAGAGAAGGAGAAGAGAAGGAAAGAGGAGGAGGAGGAAGGAGGAAGGGGAGGGGCTCAGCCGACGGCAGTGGTGCTGTGATGAAGGGGAGGGGCTCGGCGGGACCGGAGGCAACGACGGTGGTGCTGCGACGATTGCTGGTGCTGTGATGAAGTGGAGGGGCTCGGCCAACGGCAGAAGCGGAGGGGCTTTCTCTTCTCTCCATTCCCTCTTCCCCTCCTCTTTCTCTTCTCCTCTCTTCTCTCCCTCTTTCTCCTCTGTTTCAAACCACCCAAAACACCCAAAACGACATTCGAGCCAATTTCAAGCTACAGCTCATTTTCCTTTTATTATATACTCTACGTGATCCTAAAATCACATCATATAAAGAAAAAGGTCTTTCTAATGACAAGATTTGTGGGAGTTTTAAATTCTCAAATTAAATTTTATGATTTTTAAATAATAAAAAATATTTTATTGGGTAAACTCTTATTTATTCCTAATAATAAAATTCTAATTATTCCATAAATTAAGATTTTTAAAAGAAAAATATACTCAACTATTTCAAAATTTAAATTTGTGTGCTACTAAACAATTCACTAACATTTAATTATTTTTTATTTTTAAAAAAGTTTATTGGTTAACTCTAATTTAACTATAATAATTAAACTCTAATTATTCCATAATTTGTGTGCCACTAATATGGAAGCAATTTACTAAAATCTAATTATAATCATAGAAAAAAAACTCAAATTATTTCATAATTTATGATTTTTAAATATATATATATTTTTTCTCTTTGAAGAATTAAAATTATGTGTCACTAAATATGATAAATAATTCAACAGAATTTAAAATTTATAAAAACCTTTCAAATGGTCACTCTATGCTATTAACTAATATAGAAATCTTTTTCAAAATTTATAATAATGCTCCTTTCAAAATTCAATATAGTAAGCCTTTAAAATTACATTTTTTTAATTTATTTCCAAACTCAGATACTAAGTTTCTTGATTAATTTTTATTTATTATTAAAAAAATTATTGGGTAACACTTTCTCAACAATAAAAATATAACTATTTAATGATTTATGAAATTTAAAATGAAGGTATACTAACCCATTTCAAAATTCAAAGTGTGTCATATAACTATTAAAAAAAAATCTAATTTTCTCATAATTTATGACTTTTAAAAAGAAAGAAGGCTAAATCAATTTTAAAAACTTAAAATTGTATATCACAAATTATGAAAAGCAATTCACATCTTCCAAAAATATTCTCTCTTGCACTTATTGGATTCGAGTCAAATTAGAGTTGGTATTCATCAAGTGTTGTAATTGTTAGTGATAGAGCAATTGTGAAGAATTCAATTAATAATTTTTTTCATTATAAGTTTATGCTTTTTTATAAAGATCAATTTCTAATCTTTAGCCTCCCACATTCTTATTTCTATTATGCATCTAACAATTATGTTAATTTTTAAAAATTTATTGCATGCTTATTTAATCTAAGTGTATTTTATAAAATAAATCTCCAATCTTTTCGGTCGAGATTCAATGGTTTAAAATCTATATTTATCAAGTACATAAATATGGATGATAGAGGCAATTAAGAAAATGTGCATATTTATTAACAAATTTTCATTGTAAGTTTCTTCTTTTTTTGGATGATGCATATGGCTATAATATTACTTATGCATTTATATTTTGTAATTTCCATGATTTCATATTTCAAAATTTTAATAAGGTTTGCTTTTAATTTTTCAAATTTTATAGTTGGTGCACTTTTTCTTAAATAATGTTATACTTATTATATTTTTATATTATATTTTATTGTGTGACTAAGGCCTGGTTTGGGGTGTTTAAAAAAATCTAAAAAGTCGAAAAGTTACAAAAAAAAGTAAAAAAGTCATCACTATTAACAAATTAAAAATATAAAAAAATTAATATACTATGGTGGTGTTTGGGAAGTGTTTTTTTTTTTTTTTTTTTTTTTATTTTGCTAAAAAAACACTAAAAGACAAAATTGGTTAAAAAAAAAAAAAAATCTAGACAAAATGTCACATCAAATCCATAATCATTTCACTTTTTCTCTTACAAACATTACATCCAACTACAAAAAAACCTAACTATCTTCCCAAATACAAAAATTTTAACCTCCTAAAACAATCAAAAACTAAAAAAACCTACTAAAATAACAACTTCTCAAACAACCACATAATATTAAAATACAAACCAATTTCACACCACTCTAGGTACTGACGTGAAAGGAACGATAGTGAAAGGAACAAAAAAAAAGAAAAAATACATATATAAATTCACTAAGTTGGATGGTAATGTTGGGTTTGTGGGGGCCCACCACGAGTCCCGTTTTGATAATCTGAACCATTTAGTACGTAGAACTCGTCCAATACTATATGTTTGTAAAAAATCATGTTGATCGGATATCGCTAACTACATGATCAAATCAGTTTTGTATAAAAAATAGATGGTGTTATAGTTAACAATTGACAAAAAAAAACTAACACATTCAGATAGCTATCGATATCCAATCAACGTGATTTTTTACAAGCATATACTACTCGACGAGTTCTACACATTGAACGGTTCCAATTAGCAAAACGGGACCCGTGGTGGGCCTCTACGGGCCAAACAACATCGTCCAATTCAAGCCCAAAAAGGAGACAATCATTTCCCATCTCCTAACCAGCCCACTACACTGCCCAACTTGTACGACCTACTTTACTAACTTCTTCTACACACTTATTTATACAATTTTTTAATACACATTTTTTCGTAAAAAGTCAAAAAGTTAACCCAAACATTAATCTTTTTTTCCTCAACTTTTTAGACCAAAAAGACAAAAGGTGCACTTATTTAGGACACCGCAAACAACCCCTAAGTTTATTTGGTTGTAATTTTAAATTATAATTTATTTGATATTTTTATAGCTTATTTGGCTAAAAAATAAGGGTTTTTTAAACTACAATTTGTAACTTCTTTCTTTTTTTTTCTTTTTTTTTAAAAACTTATTTGAAATACTTAAATACATATGAATATAAGAGTCTTATATCTTTCGTCTTAGTAATAACTTTTGAGGCATTATGTATATTTACATAATAAAAATGTTATATTGATTATCAAAAGTTAATTGCACCAAATAAATTTACAACTTATTTTAAGTTAATAATTTAAAATTTTACTTATAATTTATAACCATTTTATGGGTAATGCCAAACATTAAACCAAAACGTAAAAAACACAAGGTGTATTTAGATTAGGGCCTAAGTTACATAAGCTTAATAATAACCATGAATATAGTACACTAACATGTGGATAGTTTTCTTAAATAAATATTTGCCAAAATTTTGAATGAGAAAATTTTGTTAAAAAATAGGTTGATGATTAGATTTAAAGCATATTTGACAAAACTTAATTATTGATTTTGTAATGCTAAATTTTTTAATAAAGTATAAAATTTTTAAATTACATAAATTTATTCATAAATTTTAAATGTGAAAAAAGCTTGAAGTATTTGAAAATATTAAATTTTCAAATGGTAGAAGAACTATATAATTAAGTATAGAATTTTTTAATAAAAATGGTTTATTAATAAATTTATTTCATACATATTCATAATGTATCATGTCTATTTTTGTTTTTTAAAGTTTGTGATTAACACTTAAAAATTTATAAAATTCTTATTTGAAATGTGGATTATACATAAATTTATTAACAAATGAGAAAAAAAAATTATTAATTCACATATAGCACATGCGTTACTTTTTATTTGAACCATGCTAAATTATAAGTCAAGTAGTCATTCTACCTACCGAATAAATATTGAGATTTAGGTACTAGCTATTAAAATGGTCTTACACATTTTCAATCAAATATACAATAAAAAAACTTAGGCCTATGGGCTAGAAATAAATTGTTTTATATACATATTCAGTTTAATTTATTTGTTTAGTATATTAGTTCTAAATTTTTTTATATATAAAACAATTAAAAAATATAAAAAATCAAAAATTAAAAATGATTTATATGGAGTTCAAATTAAGAAAATGGCTATAGGGTTTGCAAAATGTTCAATTGGTCTAACCTCTAAAATATTAATAAATACTAATATTTAATGAGACTCTTTTAGAGGTTATACCTAGCAGCCTAGTAGGATCGAAATCATCGAAATCTTATTTAAGGAGTGGGTTGAAGATTGGAGTCACTGATACTCTATTTTTTTTTTCTATTTATTATCTATTCTTCAATTTTGATTTATTGATAAAGTAATTGATTTTACATAATAGATATAAGATAATTGCTAAATTGAAAAATTAAAATTACGAAATTCATCAAGACGAAATATATTTATATTTTATTGTAAATATAATTATTAGATGGGAACTAATTAATGTTAAATAAATTTTATTTTATATTATAAATAAAGTTTTTGTTATAATTTAATTTAAAAAATAATTTTTAATTGTTTATTTTAACCCGTGCATAGCACGTGTATTATACTAGTATATTATATAAGAAAAATGGAGTTTTTAACCCACAAGCCTTGTGAAAGTTTTAATATCTCAATCTTAATTTTCTAATTTTTTGATTAAAAAAAAAATCGCAGCATTTATTATATTCTCCCAATCCACAAGCCATTTTGACTTCTCTCATACATATTGTTACACCATTTTTAATTTCTCCCATACATTATGGTTAGTAATGAGATTATTAAATTATTTTTATAAAA